GAAGGATTTTAACATTTATTGATTCATGAAACGATTTAGTTTTCGAAATATGTGCTCTGAACTAATTTCACATGGAATCCCCATGTTAGCATTGTTTAAAGTCTTTAAGAATCAAAATCTAGTTCTCTTGAGTCACTTCCATAGATATCATCGGATATATGTTGAGAATACTGTTCATGCGTTCGATATCTGATTGCTCAGAAGGTTCTTCAGTTTGTGCTAAATGTTAACAAGAGTCACTGTCCTCGCTTTTATGATATTTGTATCTATATGTATTTGTATCTATATGTATTTATCTCTTCTTTTGTTTCTTCCGTATTCTTGATTGGAATTAACATATGAAATTGATTTCGTAGTTTACAAAGGTTTATATATTTTTTAAAAAACATCATCAAATAGAACCTTAAAATAGAAAGCAAAATCATTATAAAAAAAAAAAGAAAGTCATATAGAGTTTAGTATTTATCAAATAGAGAATAGTTTAGACAGAAATATATACAGTCTTATTGCTGTGCCATGTCCCTCTGGAACATATCATACATGTCGCTCCGCAAGTGTAGAACACCAAGTGCTTCACCGATTGCTATTTTGAAAACAGGAGTTGGATTTAACAATCTTGATCCCATCACACTGATTAGTTCTTTTTCCGAACGGCTGTATGCCACTGCGACTGAGTGTTCACGTGGCATCATAAATAAACCGATTTTACTTACAATTCCGTCTGTCAAAATTACCGAATTATTATCTGGTCGAACGTGAAAAGCGAACCACCAACGACGACGGACATCTAAAGCGAATAGATACATATATCTAAGTGTTGCTTCACCTCCTATTACAAAGAGGTATTCATCTGCAGCGACTAAAGAGGGATGCGTCAATTCTGGGAGTGGAGCGGGCCCTGTGCAGTTTACTATATCAAATTGTAAAGTTTTTCTGTTGAACGATAGGAGACCGTTACCCTTTGAAGAGCCGAAAACATATAAATCATCTCCAAAGTGGCAAAAAGCAGGAGCCGCTCTATCTGTCATCTCTTGTTTTACAACGCGCCATTCACCGCCGGTGGCTGGCACCATGTAGAGATCACCATCTGTGTTCCCATCAAAACCCGACCAAATAAAGATTGAATTATCGAAATAAAAAATCACGGGGGAAGTGCGAGGGGAAGGAGCCTGGCCGGTCGTCTGGATAACTGTGAGAACTCCGGTATCGATATCAACGCAGTGAAGATCGCCGAAAAAGTCGAGATTCGAGGCTCCTCCAAAGATATACATTTTTCGACCAACGAGCGTAGCTGATGGGTATTGACGTGGGGAGAGGAGGCCCCTTGAAAGGTTTCTCCAGTTGAATGTCTTTAAGTTGAGAATCCAGGCGTCGTTGAGGCATTTGCCGCTTGCATCTGATCCATATGCGATAATTAATTCGTCCCGCTGAGAATCGAAAACATGACACTGGCCAACGCGTGGCTCCGGAGGAACCCCGTGAGGATATGTCATCGACCAGACCCCGTGGTAGGCTGATTTAAGCAATATCTGGTTTTGATTTTTCTCTGGAAGCTGAAAAGAGGCTGTTGAAGTCGGATGAACGAAGTGAGTTTCTGTGGCAAGCTGATATGAATAATTGTCGGTCGGTCGGATGTAAGTTGAGCCGGCTTCGCTTTCGCTATTTCCCATTTTTTTGTGATTAATTTAATTTCTTGATAAAAGTTAGAAATTCAGGATTTTTTGCTTTGGAGTATATTGAAAAATTGGAACTTTTTCTGTGACAATTCAAACTTTTTCTTTGTTAATGTTATTTTTTGTGAATAAGGGAAATTTTCTATGAATCTCAAAATATAAAGTTTTTAAATTTTGACTATGCTACAGTTAAGGTCAAATGGAATGAGCAATATTTTGGACTTTTTCAATAAGATGTTAACTTTTTCATAGCATATTTTCTCGGATTTTAATGTGTAGAGTAAAAATTATGAAAAAGTTCATCATTCTTTAAAATTTCATCGTTTTCGACGATAGAAGTTTCGATATCATGGCCATTCAAAGAAATCCTCAATACAAAATCTGCAAACAGATTCAAAGAAAAATTCAATGAATCAATTTGAAAAATAAATTTAAAAGCGACAAAACAGCAAATCATTTGTACCGATTTGTATTCTTTCATTGTAATTATTGTAAACTTGCTAATCAATGGCATCACAAAAAAACTCATATTAAATACTTCTTGATTTCATCGATCATTGTTTCATTTCAAGAAATAAACATCACTTGAATATGGTTATATTAAAAAGAATCTGTGAAATGAATAATTTTGAATAACTTTCGGTTTTCCTCAATGATTGATTAATTGGTAACATACAAGCAAAAAGAAATAACAAATTTTACTTCTTATTATCAATTGAATACAATAGAAATAATTTCATTAAATCTTTAAACCTCAAAAATACTAAAATCATTTTAAGTTAGTTCTTTATGAAAGAATACAAAAAAGTGCAGCAGTGATATCTCTCTTATCACTTGACTGGGATTGATAATCATTAATTGAAACGCTTATATCTGTGATGCATGTTGTAGAAATCCTGTTACTAGAATATCATGCTGTATATATTTTGATAATATTTTATTAATGCAGATTTATTGTACTTAAATGGAGTAAACTAAAAATAAAAAAATTCACACCAACTTAAGAAGAAACAACAATAGAAGAGGAAGAACAATAGGAGAAACAATCATGGAAGAAAATAATGAATTTTCCATATTATCATCTAATATTGAAAATGAAATACTTGAACCATGACAATAACTAGTTATGTTATTTTAGTGTTATTCCTGGGCTTAATCATTACTTGTTTTTGTTTTTTGTTCCTTTAAAGTAAGGCTCGCTAGGGCCAGTATAATCACCTAATCTCAGTCACTCCACTGGCAGGGCAAGCTGCGAAAGACTGGACAATGAATTTTGACCAGTTGGAAAGTGATAGTACTCATATTGACTTGAAGCTGTTATATTTAATATCTCAAATTTCAGTTTATTGATGTCAATTTGATTGAAATTGCTCATTTTGATGTTGATACTTTCAGTCAATAATTAAATAGTTTATTGATTCTATTGAATTTGATGTTTGCGTCTAGCCAAATATCTTTTTAAAAATTATAAGCATATTCACCATTCCGATCTAGAATCATTCACCTTCATGATATTGACTAGCTTTGCTGGTCAAAAACTGGTCCAAAAAGCCCAGACAAAGTTAGTTAAAATTGAGTGGTTTGTCTGGGCATTGGTCAGCCCAGCCCAGTGACCAGTTGCCCAGCAAAGTTAGTCAATTTTTATAGGTGAATTTTCAATCGTTATGGTTAAATTACTCATT